AGCAGGGATCCTACGTGGAACTAAAGACTTTCGGATAACAATAGCCACACCCCCACCCCTTTCTCTGGGGCCATGGCTGATGAAGCACCTGAAAACCCTCTGGGCACATTTCAGTGAGGGGGACTCCTCCCTCCGGGCCCAGCCAGGTCTGCCCTCTCGTCTAAAATTAGGTCCTGGACGAGGGGAGCCTTGTGAACTACAGACCTGGCATTTAGCGACAGCAGCCTGAGACCAGGGTCCTGATTACTCACGCCATCTGGCCTTGGAGTGGGACTCATAGGGCCGGAAGGAGGGATCTCTATGACGTAGCGACGTAGCGTAGGTTCCCATAAAATGGTAAGCTCTAAAGCAGGGGTCCCCAAACTTGTCAACTTTAAGACTTGTGGACTTCAAGTTGAGTCCACAAATCTTAAAGTTACCAAGTTTGAATGTCCATTGCTCTAAACCATGATTTCCAAGTGCCAGCTCACAGAAATGCCACTGAGACTTAGCGTAAATGACTGAAAACTGAGTTGCACTAAATTCATCACACAGAATGGAATCACAGTTCTATTCAAATGTCTTCAAAAAAATAAGCAAAAAGGTGAATCAACTGTGCTGTATAAACAAAGTACTGAGGAGACAAAAATATCTGTACAAATTCTGCACAGGAAAATCTGTTCTGCATCTTTACCATTATATTTTTTATAATAAAAGCAGCCCAGAAGACCAGCTCAAGAATCCAAAAGATCTGGACAGACTTGAACATTAGGCCCTATCTAATAAAATGAAATTCAACATACCGTATTTTTCAGAGTATAAGACGCACCAAGATTTTGAAGAGGCAAATTTAAAAAAAGTTTTTGCACTCTGTAGATCTCCCAAAAATGGCCCATTTTTCACAAAAACGGGCCCGTTTTTTTTCCTTCAAAAAAAGGGCATGAATAGCCTTTAGGAGGCTTGTAGAGTGCTCATGAAAGGTCCCCCCCCCCACAAAAAAATGAGCAATTTTTCAAATGGGATGCATAGCCTGTAGAACGCTCCTGGGGTGGGGGCAAAGTTGAGCAAAAAACAGGCTGTTTTTCACTCATTTCTGCCCTCCCCAGGAGCACTCTGACAACCTCCTACAGGCTATGAACGGCCATTTTGGTGAAGAAGTGGGGTTTCTGGAGGTAAAAAATGCTGTATTCAGTGTATAAGGCACACCCAGATTTTCAACCTCTTTTTTGAGGGAAAATGGTGCATCTTACACTCTGAAAAATGTGATAGATAAAAGTTAAGGTTTTACACTTAAGCAAGGAAAAACAACTGTATAGGTATATACTAGGTGAAGCTCGACTTAATGCCAATAACTGTAAGAGGGATCTTGGAGTCCAAGTGGACAAGCACTTAAATATGAGTCAGTGGTGCGTGGCAAGCACCCAAAAATGCTAATGCAATCCTGGGCTGCATTAACAGAGGGATAGAAGATCACATGAAGTTCTAGTACCACTTTACAAAGCCTTGGTAAGACCACACTTGGAATTTTTGGTCACTCTAATATAAAAAGGATGTTGAGACTATGGTTTAGGGGGCTGCAGGCCAAAACATATGAAGAATGGTTATAGGAATTGGGTATGTCCAGTCTAATAAAAAGAAGGACTAGGGGAGACATGATAGCAGTGTTCCAATATTTGAGGGGCTCCTACAAAGATGAGGGAGGTCAAACTATTTTCCAAAACACCAAAGGCAAGATGGAAAACAATGGACGGAGCCTAACTAAAGAGAGAAGCAACCTAGAACTAAGGAGAAATTTTCTAATAGAACTATTTACTACTGGAACAGCTTTCTTTCAGAACTTGTAGGTGCTCCATCACTGCAGGCATTTAAGAAGACACTGGACAATCATTTATCTGAGGTTAAACTAGTAAACCTGCAATGTCCCTTTCAACTCTATTATTCTATGTTTACCACTGTGTAGAATTCAGAGCTTCTTCAAAATAAGAAATATAATGAAAATCATTACTTTGCTTTGTTTATCGATGAACACCCAAGGTACATATAAACTAGGTATATATTTTAAAATACAATTCATACTGATTTCATAAAATGAACCAGTTGTAGTGCATCTATTTAGCAGTTTATAAATACACACTTTCACCATCTGCTAGGTGACAGATAATTCTGTGAGCAAAGTGATTTTATTGGGCATGTACATTGCTCTGGAGGGGATAGTAACAGTAATTACTTCTCAAAAGCCTCCCCCCCCTCCGTTAATTATACATCTCCACATTTCAAGGCTGAGTAAGCACAGCAATCAGTCTCTCTCTCTTTCTCTCACACTCACAAACACTCGCAATACACACACAAACACGGAATCACAAAATAGAATCACGGATGGCATATAGCCTTGAGTAAAAGATAGTTCACAGTTTTGGTGAGCTATGTATCAATATTTTCTCTATTGCGAACAGTTTGAAATATTAAAAAAACCCTGGGCCTTTCCAAGCAATCTCTTTTCATCACAATGAGATTGAAAAGGGTTAGAAAGGGATACTGGTAATTTATATTAGGTTTTTCTCACTCCCCTCTCCCGTTCCTTAACATTTCTGCCTTTCCTCTGAGAAGCAAATTAAATGACTCCACGGGGGAGTCAGAATGTAAAATGAGATAAGAACGTTTTACTCTCCTACTCTGCTGGAGCAGTTTTATGTTCCCCAACTGATGAAAATCATCAGTTTGCACACACATCATTGTTGTTCCTGCCATGCCAACTGCTCTTTCCTCATCATGTAAATTACCACACTTTTTGGAGTATAAGACACACTCCCCCCCAAAAAAGGAAAGTTGGTGCATATTATATACCAAATATGGCCATTTTGGCCTTTCAAAAAACCCTGCCCCACGTGTCCCGTTTTTGCCAAAAATGGGGCTTTTTCGCAAAGAAAGGGGTGTGCAGAAGGTTTGGGAGGCCTGCAGAGTGGGGCTGGGGAGGGCAAAAACAGGATGCATGGGAGGTTGGGAAGGCAAAAAAAGATACCTGTTTTTCATAAAAATGGGATGCGCATAGGGCTTGGGAGTCCTGGGGCTGGGGAGGGCAAAAATTATTTTTTTTCTTGTTTTCCTCTTTGAAATCTTGGTGCATCTTATACTCCAGTGCATCTTATAGTTCAAAAAATATGGTATTATTATTAAGTTGGGTAGATGATGATTAAATACCAAACTAACTGCAACAATCCAGATGACTACTAGATAGCAGAAAAGAAATACAAAACATCATCAACTTTTTACAGGTAATCTCAATTTATAACCATGATTGGGACCAGAATTTCTGTTGTTAAGCAAGGCAGTTGTTAGCGAAAGTTATGCCCGATTTTACTTTTTGTCACAGTGGTTAAGCGAATCGTGGCAGTTGTTAAATGAATTACACATGGTTGTTAAATTAATCTGGCTTCCTCCATTGTCACACTATCCTCCAAAGCACCTGAAAGCAGGACAAGAAGCAATGGGTAGAAACTAATCAAGGAGAGAAGCAACTTAGAACTAAGGAGAAATTTCCTGATAGTTAGAACGATTAATCGGTGGAACAACTTGCCCCAGAAGTTGTAAATGCTCCAATACAGGAGGTTTTTAAGAAGAGATTGGACAGCCATTTGT